TGTGACTCTGGGCAAACCAAGCTGCTCCTGGAATGTACCAGGGCTGAAGAAAGAGGAATTTCCCAGAGGGGAGTATGCCAGATGACCTGGGTACCACCCAGTTTGGAAAAGCTCAAAGAGGCAAAGGTGTCCTGGAGGCAAACAGGACAACTACTGTTCTGCCTGTCTGGGAGGAGGGACCCTCCAGAAGGATTGGGCATGTGCTTGGTCCCCCCTACCCCCATCCAGTTATTTCCTCAGGGGTAATCAGGAACAACTGGTCCGAGGATGCCACTCTAGAACTTTGTTTCATTTGTCACTTCCCCTGTTTGTTCTTTCTGCTATCTCCTGTATTACCCATCACCTTCTCATTTCATGAAATGAGACATTGGGCTTATCTTTGGGGATAGCAATAAGGGGAATAATGAGCAGGAGACTCGTATTTCCACTCAGGCAGGCTGAAAGAGGGAAGGCCAGGGAATCAAGAGGAGAACCAAGACGGATGAGTCCCTGGAGCCACATGAGAGAAAAAGAAGAACTCAGATTTAGGGTTAGCTTGAAGAGGCTGGGACTGGGACTGAGCAGAAAACCCTGTGGGCCACTGGTGAGCCATAGGAGCTGGAGCTCAGTGAGGACCAGGCTGGGAAGTCCCGTTTGGAAAACACCAGGGCAGGGGTGAGATCAGTTCAGGGCCTTTTCCTTCCCCTCTCGGTCTTCATCCTGCTCTTTTAGGGGAACTGAGTCAGCTTTAGCATTTGACCTTGAGAAAGAGGGAAAAATTATCAGGGAGAAAAACTTGAAAACAACATGAGTACATGCAGAACCAATGTTTATTAATTGTACCCTGGGCAATCTGCTAGACACTCAGCTTGTTTATCTCACTGAATCCTCACAATCCCACAAAGCACACAGTATTGTCATTCTGATTTTAAAATGAAACTAAATGCCTCTGTTGTATGCTCTTATAGCACTCTGTACTTTTGTATCATTACCTGTTTAAGATTTATCTCCCTTTCTAGTTACATCAGGATAGGGGCTTGCTTTTGTTTTCACCACTGCGTCATTGGCATGTGACACTATGCTTGGCCCAGAGGTTTTCGATAAATATGTGTTTAAGGAATGAATAAGAGAGGTCATGTGACTTGTCAAAAGCCACAATGTAAGTGGTACGACCAGGATTTGAATCCTGGACCATCTGGCTCCAGAACCTGTCTCTGATCTCTCTATTCTACCCCCACCAAGTGCTTTCATATATTCTCTCATTTCTAAATGTCCTAGCTCAGTGACATTTTCTCTCAGCTGCTTGTGAACACAAATGTACACTGTCAAGAACTCACCTATTCAGGGAAAGCAAGTGAGAGAAACAGTCCATCTGGAGTTATGCCCTCTTCCTACCCTCTTCATCTCACCATCTTCTTCCTCCAAGAAGCCTTTGCAGACAGCCCCACCTGTCTACCTGTCTCCTTCTCCTCTGGCCTTATTGGCCCTTCCTATGCCTGTGCCATAAAAGCGGCTCCAAGTCACCTGGTCTCTGATGCTTCCATACATATTAGTGCTTTATTAAGGCAATTTTATTCTGCAAATATACTGAAGGCAAATATACTGCAGGCAAGTATATTCTGCAATATACTGAAGGCCTGCCTGTGCCAGGCCCAGTGGTTGGACACAGAGATGAACCAGACACAACCTCAAAGGACTTAAACTTAGTGGAGAACGCAGACATTAGGCACAGATACAATTAACTGGAGCACAAAGCAAGATGACCTAAATGGTATTAAAGAACTATGACTATTATGTTACATGCATAAACCTTAATTACTTAATGATTATTTTTAAGTGTGTATCGTAGAAGGTCACAGCTCAAAAGTATCATCTGGTTCAACTCCTTGCTTTCCGGTGGAGGAGTCTGAGATCCAGAGAAAGGCAAGGCCTCGTCTAAAGTCTCACAAGCCAGTCTGGCTGAGCCAAGACTAGACTTCGGGTCTTCTGAAGCCCAGCCGAGGGCCCTTTCCTCCTCTGCTAGTAGCTTCATATGCAGCAGTCCCATATCCCATCAGACCATGACATCCTCAAGGCCAAGTCAGGTTCTCCCACCTAAGCAAGCTGAACCAGGCAGGGTCAGGCATGTCCAAGTCCAAGGCCTCAGGAAATGCAGTCACCCCAGGCTACCAATCCAGCCTTTTGGTCTACTGCACGTATTTTTACCACTATGCTTCTAAAAATGATTTTCAAACATTTTTGCAGAAAACTTTTTTTTTTAAAGAGGCTTTTACCCAGAACACTAGTATATAAGTCAGATAAAAGTGAACAAATTCCAGTTGAAGGAAAGGAAGGCCAGAGCCCCACTATTTTCCCACCCTCAAGTCCTGGGAAGGGAACTTTAGGAACACAGTTCAAAAACCTTTGTTCTGCGACACAATTTTTTTTTTAACATCTTTATTGGAGTATAATTGCTTTACAATGGTGTGTTAGTTTCTGCTGTATAACAAAGTGAATCAGCTATACATATACATATATCCCCATATCTCCTCCCTCTTGCATCTCCCTCCTACCCTCCCGATCCCACCCCTCTAGGTGGACACAAAGCACTGAGCTGATCTCCCTGTGCTATGTGGCTGCTTCCCACTAGCTATTTTACATTTAGTAGTGTATATATGTCCATGCCACTCTCTCACTTCGTGGGACAATTTTTAATGGCTTCATAGAAGCCATTTTAGTATGTGGTCCTCCACTGAACCCTGTCTTTAATGGAAACTCACAATCCTTTTCTTCATCATCAAATGGCAAACACCAGCCATGTGCTCCCACTAGAGTACGGAGGGGAATCAGATTTTCCCCTTGTCTTTCCTTGTTTCCTCTTCTCCACACAGAGGAGTATGTCCCAAGTGCTGTGGGGAGGGAGGAGAGAGACCCAAACTCTGCCTGGAGGATCTGGGGAAACTTGAGCAGAAAGATCATGGAGAATGAACTCATCTACTCAATCATTTACCAGCCTGAATCTGATAGAGACTTTAATATTCTGTTCCATACCATACCCACTAGCTACATGAACCATCAAACATTTGAAATGTGTCTAGTCAAAATTCAGACGTACTCTAAGTGTAAAACATACACCAGATTTCAGACTTAGTACAAAAAAAAGAATGTAGACTATCCTATTCTTTTTTTTTTTTTTTTTTTTTTTTTTTCATACTTGTCTAATACACGGGCCTCTCACTGTTGCGGCCTCTCCCGTTGCGGAGCACAGGCTCCAGACGCGCAGGCTCAGCGGCCATGGCTCACGGGCCTAGCCGCTCCGCAGCATGTGGGATCTTCCCGGACCGGGGCACGAACCCGTGTCCTCTGCATTGACAGGCGGACTCTCAACCACTGCACCACCAGGGAAGCCCCTCCTATTCATTTTTATAAGCAATAATTTTATACAGATTACATGCTGAAGTTGAATGATAATATTTTGCATATGTTGGGCTAAGTAAAATATATTATTAAAATTAAATTTTATCTGTTTCTTTTTATTATTTATTTATTTGCTGCACGGCTGTGGGATCTTAGTTCCCCAACCAGTGATCGAACCCGTGCCCCCTGCAATGGAAGGGTGGAGTCCTAACCACTGGACCGCCACGGAAATCTTTCATTTTACTTTAAAAAATAAAAGTCATCACTAGGAAGTTTTAAGTTGCATATGTGGCTTACAATATATTTCCACTAGACAGCACTAGGAGACTACCAAGTGCATGGCAGAGGTGGTGTGTGTGCATGCATGTGTGCGCGCGTGCGATTGTCGTTGGAGGCCATGGTGCATCACTGCCAGATTGTGAAAGACTGAGTCGATTTCGCCCGGCAGTCAATACAGGAAAGAGGCGGAAAGAAGAGAATGCACAAAGACCCAAAGATGTGGGCTGGCACATTGTGTTTTGGGAACTCATTCTTACAGTAGTATGATTTTTAAAAAGAAGAGGAAAAGAAGTATTTGTTGAGTGTTTACTTTGAACCAGGTATTGGCAGCAGGACTTTTACATCCATTCTCATCTTCACAACTACAGGATGAAGGGGAAGTTATTCTATTTTGCCAAAGACAGAATGGAGGCTCAGAAAGGTTGGACTATTTATTCTCGGAGTTGTTCTTCCTCTTTATCTGGAAAGCCTCTTGGAGACAGGGAGCCTTTCGTTAATGCCTGTTCTCCTCCACAGCACCTAGCACGCAGCTCTGCACGTGGCAGGCATTCAGAAAGTTTGTTATGAACGAAGGATATCCTTTCTCAAGTCAGAGCTCCACGCGCAAGGCCAGGGAGCAGAAGCACCAGAGGGCGCCCACGAGCCCGCCCACCCGCCAGTCCCCAGAGCCCCGGCAAGATTCAGGACTGGGTGCGGCCCTTCTGTCCCAAGCAGTTGAGCGCCCTAGCGAGAAGAGGGTGCGAGGGGAGCCCCACGTCCTGGCTCCGCCCCGCCCCCTCCCCAGAGCCCAGGCGCGCGGAGCCGCTGGGTGCGGAACGACACGACATCCTGTTTTGGGGGCCCGCGGCTCCGCCTGCGCCTCTGCTGATCTTGTCTTTCCCCGGGTGCTGACGCCAGCTCTCCTTCCCCCAGTCTCCGCACCCTTCCCAGGGGTCTGGGGCCTTCCCACTGCTGAATCACCGCCACCCCGCACTCCCCCGGGGCTCGGGGCAGAGGTGGGGACTGCCCCAGCCGGACCTATTCTGGCCAACCCCCAGCCTGGGCCATCGCTCGATCCCTGGGCTTGACTGAAGGTACCAGGCCTAGGGGCGCCTGTTCTCAGCATCTTACCGCAAGGGTTGGTGGGGGCGAGATAGGGGGAGGGGGGACAAAAGCCAAGCGCCTAGGTTAGGGCCTCTGCTGGGGTGGAGGTGGCAAGAAGGGGACTGGGAGGACTGACCTTAAGGGCCTCAGAGGTAAAGGGCTGGGGTGTGGGAGCCCAGTACCCGGCCCGGGACCCACCCGGTGGGGGCGACCGGGG